AAGACTTCCAAGACATGTTCTTATTTTTCCTAGAAATGCATGGGAAAAACCCCCATGACTAGAACGCATTGGAGAAGGAATCAGAGAAACAATAAAGATGCCTTATAAGTAGAAAGGTTTAGCAAGATTAGTAGTGTCCAGGATACATATGAAGGCCGTCTAATAAGAAGGCTTGTCAAACAAAGACAATTTCCTACATTTCCACCTATGGCGAAAGATGGAGAACCAAAGGCTACGACAGGTGAAGATGAGAAAATGGTAAGTGATGATTTCAATTCTAGATCTGAGCCTGGGTTGGATTTAATCTGCAACATGATATTAGTGTTGTCGTTAGAATATGACAAAATGATTGAAGTGATTGAAAAGGAGTGTGGTCTAGCTGAAGAGATGGAAACTCACAAACCCTTGTGTTATTACGTTATGAATGATGGCTTTGTCAATGAAGATAAGGCCATATTTGAAAGACATGACATATCAATGCAGCAGCATTTGAATCCTATATATATAAGGGGGAAAGTTGAGGGTGTCGGGATAAACAAGGTTTTGGTGGACTGTGGAGCCTATATTAGTGTGATGCCATATTCCTTACACATGAAAATGGGCAATTACGATAAAAACTTGAAGGTTAACAATATGGTCTTGTCGGACTACGAAGGAAAGACTAGCAAACTCTTAGGGGTTACACAAGTAGATGTGGTTGTCAGGACCACCAGTAAACTAACTTTATTCTTGGTAAGTCCAACTAAGGAAAATTACAACTTGTTTCTTGGTCGAGAGTGGTTACATGGGGTAGGTTGTATTCCTTCTTCCATGCACCAAAGAATCACAATCTGGAATCCTAGCGGGATTGTGGAATATATTGAAAAAGATCAAAGCTTCTTCCATGCAGAGGTATACGATATTGACACGACGAACTTTGACCCACAACTGGCGAATATTTTGCAATGTACTCTCATAGGAACATGTTTTGATTTCCAAGGGGATGAAGTATACTATTGCATAAAGCTACACCCTATACACGGATTTTTGTGGGAGTACGAGACCATCGGGTACTATAACAGATGGCCTAAATTAGAAGATGTTGATGTCTGAATCGAGCACACTAGCTCAAATTTTAGACTATGTGGCTAAAAAAAATAATAGCGGCCTTGGAGGTCGAGTCTCAAAAAATGATGGTTGTTTAAGCGATATCGTTTGAAGATGTTCAAACAAAAAATTTGGTCTGAACGGTCAAGAAATAGATTTAGAAAGCCGCAAACTTGATTGTACATATGATGAGGATCCTTTGGGGTTTGAAAAAGGCCCAGTTACCTCAACCCAAAAGATGCAAGCTCAAATTCCTTAGGAAGAGGTATATTTAGAAGATGGGCGACTAAAATGTCAACTTAAATAAGTGCCAAACTCGACCCAAGCCTGAAAATAAAAGTAATCAAGGTTCTGAAGGAGTTCAAGGACTACTTCACCTGGGATTACAATGAGATGCATGGACTCATTTGAGAGTTGGTGGAGTTAAAGTTACCAATTAGACATGACAAAAGGCTAGTAAAGCAGACCCTAAAGAGATTTGCGCCAGAGTTCATGTTGAAGATCAAGGTAGAGATTTAAATACTTCTCAAAAACAAGTTCATGAAACTTGCCAGGTACGTTGAATGGCTAGAAAACATCATCACAGTGTTTAAAAAGAATGGAACTTTCATAGTTTGTATTGAATTTTGATATTTGAATGTTGCCACTCCAAAAGATGAGTACCCAATTCCAGTAGCAAAAATATTAGTCGATTCACCAGTTGGTTTTAAATATTTAAGTCTTCTCAATGTTTATTATAGTTATAACCAAAATTTTATTATAGAGGAAGATGTGCCCAAAACGGTGTTTTGATGCCCTAAAGCCTTAGGCACGTATGAATGGGTGGTGATGCCTTTTGGCCTAAAAAATGCTGGCACAACCAACCAGAGGGTAATGAACTTAATGTTTCACAACTTTATTAAAATTTGTATGCTGGTTTATATATATTACATGTTTATCAAATCATCATCAAAGAGTGGTCACTTGGACCACCTTCGACAGTTCTTTGAAAGGATTAGGAAATATGGAATTAATATGAATCCATTAAAGTGTGCTTTTTGTATACACGCGGATGATTTTCTTGCCTTCGTGGTCCGTAATAAAGGCATCGAAATAAACTTAAATAAGATAAAAGCTATACTCAACACATATCCTCTGAATAATAAAAATCAACTCTTATTTCTACTTGGGAAGATAAATTTTCTGAGGATATCTATATCAAATCTAATTGGCAAAACGAAGATCTTTTTTCCATTTCTTCGCCTGAAGAAAGAAGAATGATTTAGATGGGAACCTGAGCATCAAAAGGAATTTGATGGAATCAAGAAGTACATGTCAAAACTTATAATATTATTATCTCCAATGAGATACAAAGTTATGAAGTTGTACATTTCTACATCAGATTCGATAATAGGGAGTATGTTAGCCCAGGAAAATGATGATGGCGTCGAAAAAGCCATATATTATCTCGGTTAATTGTTGAATGATACAGAAACTAGGTATAACTTAATGGAGAAGTTGTTCCTTTCATTGTATTTCTCATTAACAAAACTAAAATATTATATCAAATTATATGTGTTTGTTTACTCACATTTTGATATAATCAAACATATGTTTTTGAAACCCATTCTACATAGCAAAACTGGAAAATGGGCTTTGGCATTAACTGGGTATTCTCTAACATATACACCATTAAAAGCCATGAAAGGTTAGATTGTCTCTGATTTTATAGTGGATCATTCAATAATTGAAGTACTAGAAAACTATGTCGAGCTTCCATCTTGGAAACTGCACTTCAACAATTATACTCATGCTAAATGAACTTGCATTAGAATTATGATTATTTCGTCCCAAGGAATTTCAACTAAGTATAAATTCAAAATCCATGGTTGTTATTATAATAATGAGGTTGAGTATGAAGTGCTAATAACAGACCTTATGATATTGTTAGACCTGGGGGTAACAAGATCGAAATCAAAGGCGGCTCGGAATTAGTAGAGAAATAGTTGATGAAAGAATACAAGTGCATCAAAGATAATTTAGTAATTTATTTTGTAAAGGCCAATTCATTTCTAAAGAAATTTGACATAGTGGACCAAATAGATCAAACAACTTTGGGGTATAGAGTCACCAAAGAGAAATTGGAATATGAAATTGAAGTCAAAGATAAATTGATTTCGACCAGTGTGCTTCCCCCATAATTCTCAAAGTCAAAACTGGCGGGAGTAGAAGGATTGGAAGACCTAAGTTCTAAACATTTTAAAACTTTTGCCTTTTAAAATCTATCAAATAATGACTGGCGAAAGTCAATTATAGGGTTCTTAAAAATTCCAATAGGAACCACAAATCCAAAAATCAAATTCAAGGTATTAAGCTACATCATCGTTGGAAATGAGTTGTTCAAAATGATGTCGGAAGGCGTTTTACTTAAGTTCCTTAGTGAAAGTGAAGCCTATTTGGCAATATATTAGTGCCCATAGTGGATCATGTGATGCTCATTAAGCAAGCCACAAGATGAAATGGTTATTATTTTGAGAAGGGGTATATTGGCCCACAATGTTGAAAGATTTCATAGATTTTACCAATATGTGCCAAGAATACCAAAAGCATGTAGAGATTCAACATGTCCTCGTCAGTGAGTTACACGTAATCATCAAACCTTGTCCATTTAGAGGTTGGGTATTATATTTGATTGGTGAAGTAAGACCTGCATCATCTAAGGGTCATAAATATATCTTAGTAGGCATCGACTATTTCACTAAATGGGTCGAAGCAGTGTCCTTGGCGAATGTTGACCAAGATGTTGTGATCAATCTTATTCAGTGTCACTTCATGTGTAGGTTTAGATTCCTAAAAAAATAACAACATACCAAGGTTCAGTTTTCATTAGTCGAAAGATGGTTGAGTTTGCTTCAGAATCAAGAATCAAACTTCTAACTTCTATTCCTTCTTACACCCAAGCAAATGGTCAAGTTGAATCTACAAATATGATCATAATTGGTCTAATCAAGAAATATGTAGTTCAAAAGTCAAATAATTGGCATAAAAGTTTAGATCAAACATTATGGGCTTGTCAAACATCCCCGAAGGAAGCGACTAACTCTACACCTTTTCGATTCATGTTTAGGCATGATGCAGTTTTTCCTGTTGAGATATACTTACAATCAACCATTATTGGAGCATGGTGATGGACAAATTAGTCGACCTTGACAAAGAAAGGTTAGTTTCCCTAGACATTATCATTAGGCAAAAGAAGCTAGTGGCTAAGTCTTACAATAAAAAGGTTAAGTCAAAATTCTTTGCATTTGGTGACTATGTCTGGAAGGTAATATTGCCTATGGATCGAAAGGATAAAACCTTAGGAAAGTGGTCGCCAAAATGGGAAGGACCATTCAAAATTAGCCAAGTGTTTTTAAATAATTCTTAAGAGATTGAGGAATTAAGTCTTGACAATTGAATATTGAGAGTAAATGGAAAATACTTGAACAACCATAAGCCTATGCTGTAAGAAGTCAAGATATCAGGAGAAAAATAATGTACAAAATTTAGCATGCCAAAATTATATATATATATTTAAAACTACAAAAAATGGTAGTCATTACAACATTCAAAGTACATTACAAAACAATAAATTCAAGACTTTATCCTATCCCTCATTTCTTCGAACTTAGTTTCTTGTCATTCATGAGATATTCAATTTTTACCTTGTTCACCTATTTCTCTAAGGTACAAGAAACCCTTGCATGTTCAATACTAGCATTTTCCTCTTTGACCAATTTCTTGTCGAGAGAGTCAAAATCAGAAACCTTGATCTCGGCCTTCTCTTTCTTTGTTGTTTCGATCTTGATATATTCGCAGTTCGTTTGTTGAGTCCAAGATATTATGTCCGCCTCTAGAGAGACCAATATGTTTTTGTCCTTAGCCTTGGACTCTTATTAAGAAACTTGACTCTGAGACTTAGAAACCAAGCCATGTTGGTGGAGCAAGATCTTAATTTTTCTTTCAATTTGACCAGCATAATATTTCTTAAGATTAACAACTTGGACAACTTGTTCAAGAAAAGGTGCAAAATCTAAGACAAAAATAGCAGTAGAATCTGATGCATTCAGTTTTTGTAGCTTTAATAGCAGCCCATGGATCTCAAATAGAGTGCTTGGGTTTTCCTCAATGGTTTGAATAAGATCCATATCGACAAGTTTAGACTTTAGTTTATGTAACAACTCAGCAAAATAATCACCAATTTGAATATCAAGCAAAGCAGAAGATATGTCATCAAAGTCTTCATGGTGATCCATAATTCTCGTGAAGGTCCTGATAAGGTTCTCTTCCCAATTTTCCCTCGTCTCTATTGGATTCATGGTCGATATAGAAGCATGGAAAGAGAAAGTGGTATTAGGATCTCAAAAAAGGGGTTGAAGACCTTGGAGCAGGGGAGGAATGTGTATGCTCTTGCCTGACCTCGTGAAGGGGATACCTAGTCGATTCTAGAACTTTATCAATCAAATTAATCTCGAGAATCTTCTCGATTGAAGCACTCCATGGCTCATCGTGTACAATACCAATACAAGGAGGAATCTTTGGCATTGGAGAATTAAGCTCTTTAGTCTGAGGAGATTTTTTTTCAAGCATGAGGGAGTCCTGTTGTTCAGGCGTAGATTCATTTTTTTAAGGTTATTTAGTCTCTCCAATAGGGTACAGGTTTCCTCCGGTTTCTCTATCTATTTGATCAACATAAATTCCATCGTCTCCAGTGGTGATATATGGATGAATAAAGGTCGAGTTGGTGGTAGAAGTCATTGTATACTTAATGCTAGAGAAATCAACATGTGAGAAAGAGATATTTGGTTGTTCCTAGAGGAATGTAAGATCGACATTGACAGGCTTCACAAGAAAAAGGTTTGAAACAGGTCAGAGATTAAAGATAGTTGGAGTCTAGAAAAGTAAAATAAGGTAGTAAGTTACCTTATTAACATAGGGGTGTGGACTTGAGTGTGCAGTTCCTAGTCTCTGAGCGAGTTTTTGAGGGGTCGTTATATCCCTCGTCTTTCTCTTTAGTGAAAGAACTTAATCTTTTACAGGGCCTTCTTCATCAAAAACCAACAAAACGTTTTGTCTAACCCTTTTCTTCTTCTTCTTCTTGTTTTGTTGGAGGACAGAATATTTAGTAGGAACATCGCCTTCCCCATTGATATGCAAAATTGACATCAGTAAATCTAATAGTCATGTCTGCCAGATATTTTAGAGGGACGTGCAGAAGGGACTACATGCTTTCATCACTAAATTCAAACTCTACCTCTTTCTATGGACACTAGCATGTTTCGACAGGCGTCAATAAGAGGAAACATGTATAAAAAAAAGAGTGAGAAACAAATATAATACGAACCAGAGTTTCTTCTCTAATCAAAGCTTCAATTCCCTTGTTCTTTTTGTTTTCTTTCTTGAAGGGCCAGCAGCATAGGAAGTACTTCCTTTCTTTCGGCCTGAAGGAGCAAGACAAAAAGTTAGGAAGTTGACAAAAAATTAATAACCTGAAGGGAAATAAGGTTGGTAGTTCTATCTGTAAAGTCTCCTGGGTAGGCTTGAACCTTCTTCCTATGTTGTTTTTTTCTTGAGGTGTGTCTTTCAAAATTTTGGATTTTGGGAAACACCTGCAATAGGTCGACATAAATGAGTTAGAACCCAAGAAGACATTAAGGCGGGTTTATAAACAAAACTCGACAAGATTTACCTTTACCTTTCTTATCTAAGTCTCTTAGAAAGGAGAAAGTGTACATCAGATGTTGGGCCGTGAGGTAAGGATGTTCCATGCCTTGGTAATAAAGAGACCATTATTCTTCAAACTCTTAAGAGCAATGGAAAGAAGGGAAGAATTCAAAAGAGTAGAGGTATACCTTCTTATTCGCGAAAAATTATTTACAACTCTCAAGCCATTTTTCACCTGGTTCATCGGTGGAATAGAAGACAACATTTGCCTTGGGGATTAACGACTTGGGTAGTATTTGGCTTTAACCAAATTTCCTAGCGACCAAGTTTGGCTAGTAGGAAGCTTCCCTTATTCCATGCTTAGCAGAGTTAAGTTTTATCCATAGAAGCACGATGAAAAAATTCTAGCAGATTGTTAGGAATTTAATTCTCTCCAATGTGTGAGGGATGGAGGGATGGTTTCATGAACCAGCCATCCCATATTGTGGACTGGAAAATGGTACCATAGTTGAGACAATTGTTTTACATTTGCAAAACATATCAAAGTACATTTAAAAAAACCTCCTTAGGTGTAACTTTGACATCATCTAAAGTAAGTTGGGCAAACCTCAAACCTTTAACACACACCTCTGTGTTAGGTGAGATTCTGGTTTAAATGGGGGATTTGAAAGTGGAATTAAGAAACAATTGCAAGAGCCAAGGACCACCCACCTAAAGGATTTCAAGATTTTTCCCTTCCTTGATATCACTCGATTCTAGCCCCAAGGATTCATAGAGGCCACATTATTTTGTTGAAGCAAACGTTCCTCCTCTCATGAAGTTGATTGGCCAGAGGTACAAACATTTTGGCCACTTGGATGCAGTGGGATCAAAAAACATAGCGAGAAATCTAGTAAGTGTGAAAATCTATGTGTTCATGATCTCCCAAAATTTATGTGGAACCATGATGCTCGTTGATGAATGTGATATAAGCAATTTTGTCAAAAATAAATTCAGGATTGGTCTTGGTAATGGCTGAAGTTTCAAAGGATTCTCCAGTTGGCTTAAGACCAACAATAACATCAATGTTAAAGAGTGTGGGGGTTACCATCCCACAAGGTAGGTGAAAAGTGTTGGTGGTAGTTTCCCAGAAACACATGGCAACAACGAGCATATGAGGGTTGTACCTAGAACCAACTATTGAAAGTTGTATCAGGTCAAAAATACCTTGGTATTTCCATATAAATTCTATTTCTTTTAACCTTATTCAACCATTGGATATAATTAGGGTCATTACTAACATGATGAGATGACCTAAAAACCATATACTTCAAAAAGCTAAAATAAAATAGTTTATCAAGGAAAACCAGAGGTTCACATGTAGTGTAGTTGTGTTTTGTAGCCCAAAATTTTCCCTCTCATTTCTCAAGTAATATCTCACAATATCTCCTTGGATTCAAGACTGCACAGGGTTGATCAGCTCAAGAGACCTCCTCTAGCACTGATGATTGAAAATTAGAGTTTGAGATTGCACAAGGATAATTTAATTTTTAATGCCTTATATAACTTTCATGGATAATTTTGGACCCCCAATATTGCTCATGTTAAGTTTCAAGTCATGGATCACATTTTTGCTCAGCTAATTGATCAGTTGGCCTAAAAATCAACTGTATTGGGGAAAAGTTAACTGTGGTCAATTTGCAGTCAAAATTCATAATTTTTTATCCATATCAACATCATGAACATATGTATGTCATTTGATCAAGTTTGGATCATAATTCCTCAAGAAATTTGATCAGATCATCAAAAGGGCAAAATGATCAAAATTAGGGTTTTAACTGAGAAGGTGTAATTTCTGATTTTTGACCTAGAAAATGTTTGATTGGTTTAAATTATGATCTCAAGGATTCAATTGCATCATTTTTACCTAATGGCATGGCTCAAAACATCTCTCAAGTTCAATTGGTTGACAATTGAATTTCAGTCAACTGATGAAAAGTCAACTGTACATTGGAAAGTGAAACTTTGACTTTTTGGTCAAAATCAAGTGTCAAAGATCACAATTCATCAAAACATGTCAAAATATGAAACTTGTTCATCAAGAAATCAAAAAGTCAAGATTTCATTTTGAAAAGTCAAAATTTCTAAACTTAGAAATTTTTCCAAGTGTTGAAAATTTCATATTTTTTCATAACTTTGAGTAAAATTTTCACCATGATGCAAGATGATTCAAAGGAAACTTCCATTATGAAAGTTGTAGATCTCAATGAGATATAAAACATTGTAGAACACATCTTCTCCTGGAAATGCATGGATTTCAAGTTATGATTTTGTGAATACATGTTCATGAAACTTGGAAACTTAGTGAAATTTTGCCCTAGTTTAGGCAGGATTTTGACCTAACTTCATGGCAATTTTTCACATAGTTCCAAGAAGAATTTTCAAAAATGTCCAACATAGAGGTTATATAGGATGTTACAAGCTTTCTAAAATGTCAAATAACTCATTGAGATCATGTTAGAGCAAGGAGAATCGAAGGCAAGAAGTTAGGGTTTTCAAACTTGAATTACAAGCCATTTTGTGAAGAATACATGAACCAAATCCATGCTAGGATGCATAATCCTTTATTTGAAGGCCTCAAAATTGTTTGTTACTCCATAATTAAATGTTTACACAGCTGTTAGAGCTTTGATCCAAGCACTTGAGCTATTATCCAAGTTGCATTTCCATTAATGGCCCAAAGTAACATTGCCATTCTAGTAAAGAGGCTTTAATCACAAAGTCAACTTGTCTTGAGATTTGCACTTGTTCCTTCTAATCACACACAATCTAAAAGCCATTAGAAACTTGTCTAGAGCCTCTAACTACTCAGACCATGCTTGTACTATGCATTGAAACCATGTTTGTCAACCTTACTTCAAAAACAAGCCAAGAAGCCAAAACATGTGATCTTGTACTTCTGACCATCTCAAGTCTCCAAACCTTTTGCTACATATCAAAACACTATTATGCAACATATGACATGAGCTTGAACACCCTGAAACACTCTCAAACTCCCTCTAGCCAGAAATTGCTTCAAAACACCATTGTTGTGTAAGTTCTGACTTTACACATCAAACTCATATCTCCCTTGTGTGTTCTTTGGCCTTTTAGTTTCTAAAGCTTCCTTACATCAAATACAAACCATACCACACCCTGTTACACGACTGTAACATCATCTTCATCAACTTCCATAGCCAAAAACAGAGCATTGCAGTTTGACTTCTCCAGACCATTTCACCCAATCTCAACTCAAGCTAAGCATTGCATTAGCTTCCTAGAGACTCAAGGAAGCTAACCTGATCATTCCAGCACCTTGAATCAAGCTCAAACTAATTTCACGATTTCCAGTTTTGAGGTATTTTCTTGAACTTCTATCTTCTCATTTAGGCATTGTTAGGCTTGCGTTTGTGAAGATAAAATGTAGACATGATTGCCCTGAAACTATACATGTCCATAGATTTCATTTATGTTTCTTGAGTAGGGAGAATTTTGAGTTTGAACCTCTGAAAATATTTTAGATCAGAATTTGGTACTGTTAGAAATTCATGCTCATCTTTGAGAATTAGCTTAAGTTATTTACATGTTCAGAATCGTGAGGAAATTTCTAACAAGTTTGATGTTGGAAGTTTTATGAATGGATGAGACATGAATGAGTTACAAGTTCTTTGGCTAGAGGTTGAAGATGAAGTTCATTCAGGACTTGATTTGTATTATTTATTTGTTGTTTTGTTTATATGAACGGATGTATAGCCACCCCAGTGGTAAAGCGTGCATGTTAACCTTTGGGACCTGGGTTCGAGCCCCAGTGGTACCCTTTTGCTCTTTTTTCATATTTTTCTTTCCATTTTTTTGCTTGAAACAGACGCTGGGCCTCCAACAAATGGGCCTTCCATTTTTTTTCTTTTGCTAGCCCCTGACTACTTTTGTACCCCTGACCCTTTGTTTTATTTATTATTTCATTTTTCTCATTTCATTTTTATATTTTCTTTATTACTTTTATTATTACTATTATTATTATCATTATTATTTATTAATAAAAATCCAAAAAATATTTTATTTATTATTTATACTTACTTATTTTATTTTCTTATAAAACAAAAGGGACTAAAAACATTTTTTTCTTAAAACAAATTAACTTCTTTTCTTAATTAATTAATATTTAGATAATTAGGTTTAATTATTATATTATCCTCTTGTAAATTAAAATTAATTTAGAACTTAGGTTTATTTTAATTAATTAATTTTCATCTTTTTTTTATTAACTTAAAACCTTTTTCATAAAAACCTTAAAAAATCATTTTTAACTTAATTTCTTTCTTAATTAGTTCAAACTTAATTTTGTTTATTCTTAATTAATCACTTTCTAAATTAGGTCAAGGTTAAACCCTTTCACAAAAATCAAACAAAAATCATTTCTTTTTCCATTTTGCATTTTTACTTTATTTATTCAGTTCTTGTACATTTATTCAATATGGTTGTAATAGTTAATTAGATTTACTTTTCTTACAAATCCCCCATTTGTAAATTTGTATACCCCCTCCCCTGATGATGTAATAGCTTAGTATTTTTATTTTCCATAATTTATCACTTTATACAAATACTAGTAAATTAGGGTTTGTATGGAAAGACTAAAATCAACAAGTTAGCAAACCCTAATTCAAGTCAAACAAGCATGTAAATCAACACACTTACATCCTTAGGGTAATTCCACTTTGTTTCCTTACAAAAATGGCCATGTTATGCATGTGGGGTATCTTAGCAAAAGCAATCAAAAATACAAGATCATAGTCCCTCGATGACGCTATCAATGTTGCCTTTCAAAATGATCTTAGTCCCTCAAAGAGAATTGCTAATATATTTCACAACATTGTTATCATGGCTATACAATGACCCACGCTCGTCCCTTTACATCCAAAGATAGGGCTTCTTACCAAATCAATGGTAAGATAGCAATATCAAAGTAAAGGAAGAAATGAAGTAAGACTTTTGAGTAGGTAGATTGTTCCTAGTTGCTTGCTCAATTTCAAATCAAACACTCTTGCTCAATTTCAAATCAAACACTCTTTCTTATTTTCAAAACAAACACCAACACTTTCAAAAAACACTTTCGAAACATTTCCCAAACATGAAACATTTTCAAAAGCTCAACATTTTGTATACGTTCTTACGAACGAGAACTATTACAAAGTTTGCCTAAGCGAATGCGCCTTTTCAAAATACTTT